AAACATCCCTTAGAAACAACACAGCCTCCATACTGGATCGTACCTGTGCATGCAGCATGAAACATGCTTGCCCTGTTAGTTTTCCAAATCTTCAAAAATAATAGCTCTAGGGAATATTTTATCTGCCTTTGTTGCTTTCCTAACTGGGTGAAACAACTATGTGGCCTTGCCAAAGTCCTAGTCCTTCATGTCCAAGAGCAAAATGCACATTTCTTAGAGCTGTTACATTAGACAAGCCCAGGGATGCTGCTTTTCTTTCTGCATTTGAAGACAGAATTTCAAATTAAAAATCAAGTATGTATGACCGCATAAGGTATGAAAATAAAATAGAGAGGCTTAGCATAAGACCTCTTCTAACAAGTGGTTACACAGACGTGACATCTGAAAAACCAGCCCCTTTCTCCCCCTTTTATTTTACTTTTTAAGTAGTGAAAGAGAGAAAAAAATTGCTTATTTGTTAGAGCAGTCATTTCAAAAGGAAAGGTAATTCATCAATTTAATGAAATGAAGACATTTCTCATTTATATAACTGAGTGTGTATTGAAACCAGAGTAAAATCCCAGCATGACTCCTGCTTCATAGCAATTCTCTACCATCAGGCTGCTGTTTCATTAGAATGAATCAGTTTCACCTGATTCTTAGTTATTAAGCAACACTTATTTCATTATGGCATCCAAGAGGAGGAGAGGCAACAGAAAAAAAAATTCTTTGTGACCACAAGCCAAACAATTGGTACATCCTTTATCTTATACTATGGACAATAAAACCTCTACTAGCTGGCCATACCTTAAAAAGCTCTCAGGCATCCAGAAAATTTCCCATTTCTGTGTGACAATCCTTCATCACGAGCTATATGTGCTTACACTTTCTATATATTTCACCTATTCCTCCAGTCTTCCCCTTTTGTGTGGCCAAACTTGCTCAAGCCAACAAGCATTTGCAACAAGGGAGTGTAGAAGTGGAGAAACACAGAGAAAAAAAAAAGAAAGCCTGGACGAGTGTACATGTGGACACCTGTACTGACATTCTTAATTTCTCATCCCATAAAACTTATTTTTATTAGGAATACAGGCTCTGCACAACAAAACAAAACTTTAGGCAAAACCATATGGAACAGGATGAAGTGAAGCAATGACATCAACCTTTGGAAAATCACTGAATTCCAGGATTCACAGGCCCAGTGACAGCAACCAAAGCCAGGCTGGCACAGACTGTTCCTGAGCTCGTCTGTCTGAGGGAGGAATGCCTGTCACTGCTGAGTTTCTCTTTTTTCTTCCACAAAGAATAGCACACCAAGACAATCATCTCATGTGCTCTGGCAACGAAAGGTAACCCATGGTAAGTGAATTACCCTTAAAGTTGCAAGGCAAAGTACCATGCCCAGTAAACTGTTACTTAAAACTGCTTCTAAGAGAACTTGCATCCAGGCTTTGCATTGAAAAAGGCACAAATAAATCTCAATCACAGAGACCCAGAGCAAATCCAGGAGACTTTACAGGCAAGTTCAAGTACATAACTCCTCCTTGAAGCTATCATGGAAAAAAACTAACCAAAGGCTAAACATGAAGTGGTGCACTGATGCTAGGTCAGGAAATAATTTTTTTAAAAAAGAAGCAAAAATCCCAGCAAATTAATGGAACAACCAAAAAAATACAAGTTTGACAGCTTTATGAAAACTCCACCAAATGAAACATTTTAACTGCTGTTTCAAGAGGGTGGCCAGAGGACACATGCCAGGGCAGAAATAGAACTGCAGTCATCCACCCAGCCTCACAGCTCCCTCATTACCAATACCTTACAGCCTCAGAGCTGACAGCCACAGAGCCTTGCTAGAGCACATCTTAATAAACTTCACAAAGGTGATCAACACTTCCAGCATGCAAAGTACTCTTTTCATTATCTCCACTCTTCCCTACAAAACTTCCCACCCCAAATCTCAAGTGTGTCCTTGGGCAAAGTTTTTGAGAAGAAGAATTCAAAGAAGCCTTGCACTCCCTTCTCTGTCAGACTGCAATCATATTGCAGGTTCATCCAACACCCTGAACTCCAGCAGCTTGCTCTCTAGACAGAACCCTCCTAATCTGCTGCAGCTGAACTTCCTCAGCCTATCAAGTAGGAAATCCTTTTATTGCTCTGGCTATAAGCCTCTTATCTCCTAATTCTGTGAGGCTGAGAAATAGCTGTTCTGCTCATTAATCCTACAATGACTGTCAGAAGGGGATATATACCTTCTCACTCTACTCAAACACAAGTAACTAGGTTTCATCAAGCTCTTTACTATCTACTTAGCTGAGTCCCACTCCACAAGATTTTATAGGAATTGCAGTAGCAGTACAGAAGCTTCTGCACTTTCATGAAATATTCAGAACACTTTTAAAGTTGGAAAGACCTTATTTAATTCCCTGTAGTGTAGATAACAGAAAATTGTTTTTAAAAAGTAACTTTTTTTCTTTTTTAAGCAAGTGCAATTTTGGTGAAAAGTGCTGTATGGATGTTTATAGAGACTTTCTTCTACAGTTTATATATACACCACTGGTTTAAAAGAGATCTTTCTCAATCATTTATTACAAACTCATGTCATCCATGACCTTCAAAGATAGCTGAAAGGGAAAGAAACACTAAAACAGTTGAGACCTTGGATTAACTAATACCTTTAATTAGCACCCCCCAAGAAATGTTGCTGGTTTTCCCCCTATATAGGGCATTTAGCCAAGGAGAAACTATCAAGTTAATTTTTCCATCAGGGCTGATAGCTTCTATTTTTTTTTCTCTAAAGCAAAAACTGACTACAAACAATTTCTAACCACTGCAAATATTACAGATATGAAAAAGTTCTCATACAACATGTATTATTTAATATTGTAGTTTTATGTACCAAATGGACAAACATAGGCCTATCTGTGTCATTCAAAAAACCTTCCATAAAGTTTTGTTGAGAAAAATGTTAAAGTGGCAAATAGCATTAAGATCACAGATATCTCACGTCAGCTGTACCTTTTATTTTAACTATAAATGTCACACATCATCATGCAGCTGTCAGCTTCCTTTAATGTACTAAATGTTATCATGTAAGCACAGAATCTGACATGATGTAAGACAACAATTAAAATAAAAAGTAAGTCAGCTTTGACACAATGTCACTTTTCTGTATGCTGCAAATTAAAGGAAAATTGAAACTATACAAGTAAGCTAGTCAAGCAAAAGGCTGAAAAAGCCTCAGACATCAGTTAATGTTTCCCTCTAATGTTATGTCCCCATTTTTACCTTCAACTTCAAGAAAACATCCATAGCTTTAGCACAGCTAATTACAAATTGACACCAAAAGATGTCAGGAAGAAAGCCTAAAACATGCATGTTAAAACATGTGCAGCATGTTAAAATTGCTGTTGCTTTTAAAACCAGATGCAAAAGCACTTAAATTAAGGCTGAAGAAAATCCTAGTAATAATGGAGTGATTATGAGCTCTAGGTAATTAATATTTGAATTGATCATGTATTAAAAATTTTATTTAATTTACTATATTTGATGCACGACACTACATAAAAATGTCTGGAATATTGAAAAATTAGTTTTGGAGAAAATGAGAAACATGTAAACCTGGAAAGGCATAATGTTAATAATTATATTTCCTCCTTTTCAGTGTTTTTTGTTCATTTACCTCAACTTTAAAGCTACATTTAATACATCAGCACCATAAAAAACTGTGGCCCAAGGGAAAGCTAGTGCTATCTGTCACAAATACAGAAATGTCACATGTAATATTTGCTCTGGCCATACCAGACACATTTAAAACCTCTGTGGCCCAGGGAAGAAATAGTTACAACGGAGTCTGTTCACAGGCAGGGAAAAGGGATTCAAGCAAAAAGAAGCTAAAGACCTCTCCTGCAAATGGAAGGGCTGATACAGACATTCCAAGAACATTCCTGTAAAAACATTCACTTGAAACATCAAGTTAACACTTTCCCCTTTGTGGAAATAAGACGAAAGGGAAACGTGGGGAATTCTATAAAGTTTTACCCCTGAATACCATGTCAGAATTCTTTTCTGCTGATCTATACCCTTCAAAGGATTTCCAGGCCAGTAACCTGCCTGAAAAACATTAAATTTAAGAATTATAATTTTGACTATAATAAAAGTTCTATATATGAGTGCTGCTGCATTTTCCAATTTGCTAGATTTGATTATGACAGCAAACTGCAGAAAAACTAAGAAAAAAAAAAACCCCATAGGTAGATAAAAACAAATCCAGTAAGACATACAATTAGAAATATGTAAGTGAAGTAATACAAAAATAATTTCAAACCTGCCCTTACAGCTGTCTCAGAATAAAAGAAATCCATGAGTAGAACTTGGACACAATCGGAGCTGCTAGGAATTTGATCTTTAAAGACTACTTTAACCAAACACTTAAAACTATAAAGTGGCAACACTTGCACATTTCCAATTGCTCTGTTAGACCTCAGTGACATTTATGCTGAAGTAGATAACTTTTTAAAAACAAAACCGAAACAGTATTTCTTGAAAAGTGTATTCAGCCAAATGAAGACTCCAGTGATCACAACAAATGCACACTTGTAAATTATCTGCTGTAGTTTTACATTTTTCCAGCCTTTCAATGGTTTCATTATTGCTAGAGATATTTATGTACACACAGAGGAGAAGAGGGAAGGTCAAGCCCCTGTGAGCATGGGCATGTGCAACTGTGAAAGTTCATGCAATTCATTGGTTCCATTGATTGCTATAAATTCTCCTGTACCAGCCTGCTGAAGGAATACATCCACGAGGATCTTTACATTACAGGCGTGAGCAGAAGGTGATGTCATTCACTTGCACGCCTAGGACTTCAAATGTGAAATGACAGAATAAGGTTTAGAAACAAAATATACAAAACTTTTTTCTACTTTTGGCTATTATTTTATTTAAGAATATAAACGAAACAGGCTGAGAATTGAGACTTGAGCTCCATGTTGAAATGTGATAAAATGAAATACTCTTCATACCTGCACTTCTTAGGTTAGGGTCTAGGTCTGGCATTTCCTTGGACGCCTCTGGACTGACACTGTAGATCGACGCTCCAGCTTCACTGACAATGCTGAAAAATAAAACAGCAAATATGCAAAACAGCACACTGCTGAGAAACACAAGTGGAAGGCTTTGCAAGTGACTTAAGTGAACTTTTAGACTTTTTTTAAAGCCTCAGGTTTTGCATAAAACAAATGCTTAGAAAAGTAAGTCAGTACAAAGGAAAATATCTCCATTTAAGCGAAAACAGCCCTCCCTGACCTGCAACATTCATTCTTTATCAAGTCTGGCCTTACTATAAATACACACTGTGCATGATCTCAGTCCCTGTCTCAATCTTTACAAGAGGAAAGAAAATTAATCCAAGAAACAAGTGTAACCAGAAGTAAATAGGCAAACCGGCTTCCATAAACAAAACTAAAACTACCTGACAATTTCATTAAAAACACCTACATTCTAAAGTCCAACATATCACTTGAATTCCAGCCATGAGCATGCACACACATTGCCTCAAGTCGGCTGCCCTAAAACATTCCAAAAGCCCCAACTTGATACAAACTGAGCCACAGAGCTGCAGCTCCCTTCTCAGCAGCAGTCAATACCATCTTCTCCCAGCTCTCACGGCCATCCCCAAAGAAAAACAGATTGCTTGTCTTCAGGAACTTAAACTTCAGTTCATTTATCTACCATACAACTCAAACTCATTCAGTAATGATGATAAACTCAGCAATTCAAATCAAACACATAATTAAAAACCCTTCAAGTGCTCTAGTTCCACTCAAGAGAAAACTGCAATCAAGTATTCACAGTCTAAGTTTATTTTCAGCTGTGAAATTCTGGCACCACTGAATCAACATTATATTTCTTCAAATAACTTCAACAAAACTGGAATTTCAGGTTGATAATTATGGCATCATACAGCTACTGCTCTGGAGATTAATACTATCAGTTTCAGAACTATTTTTACTTTTACTATTCCACTTCTAAAATAACCTAATCTTTGCCATAAGGAGAGAAACCACAGTCCTTAAAGAAGCAGACCTTTCAGCAAAAAACCATAACTTTGCTTTATATTGTTTTAAAATTGGACTATAAATTTTCCTTTTAGGAACATTTATTAGGTCAAATTTTTATATAAAGAAACTGATACCTAGAAACCACTCCCTTTAGAAAAAGCTGGAGAACAGCTCAGAGGTTAAATATATTCCCATTCAATGTTCCAAGCACAGTAATAGTAAACAGTGTAAAATACAAATATAAAAGGTAAGAATTTCTGGGGTTTTTTTTACAGATTCCCCTCTTCCCTAGTCAAAACTGGAATTTGGTGGAGTGCTGTACATACGAGTCAGATTTTAAAGTTACCCAAAACTCTAAAGAACAGTAGTACAAACAGATCGTTCAATAAAGACAGAATAAAATACTGTTATCTTTAATATTAATGTAACTCCAGACACATTCAAACAGAGGAAAAACATCCTCAGACCAGGTGAATAGGGCAAGTGAAAATGAAACTATTTCATGATCTTTCCAAAAGATTCAGTATTATGAGCACTCCTTCAGTATAAATGACATTCATAAAACATTCCTATCGCAGCACTCAGAAGTACGATCGTATCACAAAAATCTAACTGCTGAACATAAAGATGTTGACAGAAGACTCATAAAACTGATTTCTCTGATGAACAAGTAATTTAAAGAACAATGCAGCAGAACATACTTCTTAACCTGTTCACACCTTATAAAGGCAGCATCTGGCAAGTGTTCCCTTTCTGCATATTGCTTCCAAAAAACCACACATGAGCACACACTTCTAACAGCTTTTTTTTCTCTTCAATCTTCGTATTCCAACAGATCCCAAACGTTAGCCCACGTGCAATTTTTAAATTTAATACATTGATAATATAGTGTCATAATTTTAGATTTAAAAAAAAAAAAATCAGTGTTTCACAGTCATTTTTTACCATGTTGTACTATAAACTGAACTACTGAACACAGCCTATTGCTTGATCCTCTCCCGGCATCTTCTGCAGTGAAAAAACTGATGTGACCTTGACGAGAATTTTAACACACTCGATATTTTACTGTTTCTCATTAATACAACACTGATTTGCAGAAGCAGAAGGATTGCACCAACACTGCCATTCTATGGTAATATGCAACTTGTGCCAGATTTAAGGTAGGCAGTACAAAAACTCCTTGCTAAAATGAGTAGATACAATGAAAACTCAGGATAGGAGATAGAAACATTTGAAAAAAGCATATTTCCTTTCCTCAAGAGCAAAAACATTTATACACTGGGGTGAGAAGGGGGGAAGCCAAATAAAAAACTATCTCAAGAAAGAGAACAAGATATAAAAAGCACCTTCAGAAGCAGCATACACTGGATACTCGAGATCCACTCTGAGATGGTCTAGTATACACATGCAGTTATTTTGTGAACTATTTGGTGCAGCAGACATGGAAAAGGGGAGCAAAAATTTCCACTCACATAGAACTTCATACTGCTCGGCCCAAGACAGCAAAACCCAGACGTTAAATAAATCTTTTACCCAGATTAAACGCATAAGCCACACACTCCAAAGAAACCATCCTCTGGTTCATTCAACAACAGTCAACCAAACTTTTACAGAACTATTAGTGGCTATCACATGGTTTGATATGGCTACAGGGAGGTGGATACTAATGTGCCAATGGCACACAGAATGCTAAAACATTTAGTTTGGTCAAAATACTAAGATTACAAGCCTTAGGGATTGTCAGCAGATGTTCTGGCTTTTACTTTTTGACTAGACAGGAGACAGTCACTTTGGTTCACTGACATTTCATATGTTTTCCACATTCTCAGCATTTTCTTGAAAAGGGGGATGACTTTATAGACAATTTAAGCTAATTTAACACTGCTAAATGCTCTACATCATGTCTTTTAAATAATGTATATATATTTTATGTCAGGGCATATTAAGAAAACCAAACATGCTCAAATGAGTAGGAAACAGAAATTGACTCCAAACTACTGTGGTCCACACTGTTCTTCAATCTCCTCTTCCCATTTCTATAATGAATACAATTCTCAAATGAGTAAAAAAAAAAAAAAACCCCAACTTCATAAGAGCTGGTGAAATATATTAAAATCTTGTGCATATTTGGAATTTATTTTTATTTTAAGTTTTTCAGTCACTTAGCAGACAAAAACAAAAGAACTGGCCCCATAAAACCCTCATTACAGTGCATTCCTTGGGAGGAAAGATTCTGACCAAATGTAAATATTTTAAACAGTTTTAGTGAAAAAATATTTTTCTTTTTAAAGTCAATATGTAGTAGGTAAATAAGCACATGGTTATGATATGATACAATAAGCTTCTAGGGCATGAATGAAAAGTTCCATAAACTTCTCTTTGAATTAACAAAAAAGCAGGTAAAGGATCTGGAACTACGCCTCCATACTGTGCTTCCCACATCAGCCATCCCATGGATAAGGGGTTTTTCCTCAGCATCTGTATCCAATTTTAAAAAATTAAAAGTGCCAAATCACAAAGCCACTACACAATATTACAGTGTATTCTTTGCAATTGTACCAACTGGCTTGTTGCATATGAACTAAGTCTTCCTGTACTGCACCCATCTCAATCACAGTTGTTAGGACACATTTTAAGCAGCTAAGGCAACATTAAATGTATTCCACCAGCACCACCTGGTGGGCCGTCAGTTTTATGCTAGAGACCATGCCACCTATACTCTAAATACTTTAAGGAGCCTTTTAACATGCACTAAAGCAAGCTGTTTTCTTACTCAGCTTAAATAAGCAGTGCCTAATTGATCTGAAAAGATTATTCAGATATCCTATCTTCTAATTTTTACATGAAAAAATGTCTTTCTTGTAAAAGGTAAAAAAAAAAAAACAACCACCTTACACTTTACTCTTTTTTACAAAATACATAAAGATTACAAGTAACCAGCTAGTTAACGACAGTGGTCTAACTAAATTACTATTTTTAAAACTTGAAGGTTTCTTATGTAGTAAGCTTTGAAAATGTTTACAATGGAAACTATGTAAAACATCTAATGTATGCATAAAAAAGAAAAGATGTATCAGGCTAGACATTTGTGGGTTTAAAAATGAATGCATCTTCCTGACATTTTCAAGATCCTTACCAACATTTCAGACTTCTATATTACATTGAGGTAATTTCCCTACAGTCAAATGCAACACTGGATTAATAACCTACAGAGACACAAAAGGCAACTTTATCCAACTTTACACAACTTGCTACTCCTACAACTCCCAAATTCCTGATTTCTAACTACAATCCTTTAAAATAACATTTTAAGAAACAACATCAGTATGAAGAAGAGTCTGGTGTTTATTACTTGGAAGAAAATCCTGGTCACTCTAAAAGCAAAGGTATGGCAACCTCAAAATGGGCCAAGATTTTCGTATTTGACCATAAAATTATGATCTGCCATTAAAACTCCCTTCACAATCTTGACTTAGTAATTCTGGCCAATTCCTCTAACTCAACTTTTTACATATTTACTGATAAATATATTGCTCATAAACTTGTGGCTACAAAGCCAGAGGCTCCCACAAAGTACAACAGTAAAAGAAGACTCAAAGGTTTTTTCAGTGTTATTTGCTAAAATAATTGGGGTATGAATCACCTGGGACAGAAAAATAAAATTAAATAAAATGACAAAATATTATCTAGAAAAGAATGCTGCATTTAGACACTCAGAATGTATCAAGCTTTAATTATGTTGACAGATGTTATGATTAAAATCAACTAAGAAGGGGGCAAGGAAAACTTAATTAAGCACATACTCAAAAGAAGATTGGGCTACTTCATTAATAAGAAATCCATTGAGCCTTACTGGAAAAACAGAAGTCACAAATAGTTCCTGAAGAGCCTAACACCCAAAAGGGTTGAGAGTTACACTATAGAAGAAATAGGATGTCTGCATCTGCTGTTACATGTCTCCCTACACACCCATTTTTGCTGACTAACGAGAACCAGCTAGTGCAGGTTGAAAAAGCTCTTCATAGGAAACAGCAATAAGCCCTCATTTGCATTT